GGGCGCATGCCTATAGTCCCAGCTACCTGGGGAGCTGAGGCAGTAGGATCACTCGGACCAGGAGTTTGAGGTTGCTGTGAGCTAGGCTGACGCCACGGCACTCACTCTAGCCTGGCAAAAAGTGAGACTCTGTCTCAAAAAAAAAAAAAAAAGAAAGAAAAGAAAAGAGTGGGAGGCTAGAGAGCCATCAGAATGGCCATAAGAAACAAAAGGGTGAGCAAATAGCCACAGACGTTCCTAAGCTTTCTAATGACCCAATGGGATCCATCCAGCACACAGGATACAAACAGCTCACACCTACCGTTGCCAACCTGTGGAGCAATTGCTTCAGCTCAGGCCAAGTGTATTCTTGAAGAATCTTTCAGTCGAGCTTGTCCAACTGAAATCAAGCACAAAAATTTTAACTCCAAAATGACTGGAAAGCACCAGCCCTCACATTTTACAGTTGAGACACAGGCTCAGAGATGGTAGATGTCACAGAAACAGAGCCAGGGACGGAGACCCCAGTCCACAAACTTTCCTCAACTATGCACTTCAGACAATCTTTCTTAACATTACAAAACACTCTTTTTATATCAATTAGGCACCCACCAAGTTTATCTCCTGCCTTTGTATCATGAATTACAGCCATATTTAATTGCTTACTGTTCCCTGATGACGACACTACTTTTTAGACACCACTACCCCAATCCTTAGCACACAGTGTTGCCACTGCCTGGCACACTATGTTCTTCCCAAACACAGAAGCAAACCAGTATGCTACAGTATCGGCCACAACAGACCTACAGCATCCAATCTGCTCTTAAATCTCCAAGAGGGTGCTGTTCCATTTCCCTCTCCTAATCTCCTTAGCAGCTACTTTTCCCAAGCTCCTACAGCCCTACCTCTCCCAACTTCTGACCTTCCAGTCCACCTATAAACATATGTGCTTAAGTCCCCTTCAAAACACAGAACAAAACAGAAAGCTTATCAATGACCAGTAAACCCTCATATATCAGGCATCCTCAAACTACAGCCCACGAGCCACATGCCGCCGCCTGGACATTTATCCTGCCTGCTGGGTGTTTTGCTGCAGCTGCCCATCCTGCTTAGCAGACGACTCGTAACAGGCCCACAGTGTGCACTCTCCAAAGGTCTAGTAGTGAACTGGCCCCTGTTTAAAAAGTTTGAGGACCCCTGCTCTATATTTATCATCCACCTTTAACACTCTACTGTTATCTGATCTGCTGCCTCCAACAGTCCACTGAAATTGACCTTGCTAAGTCAGCACTCAACATCTGTTAGCAAGCACTCAACATCTGTTGACCATCTCCTTCTTCAAAGTCTCTTCCGAAGACTTTTTGGTGCCTGTGATACTTCTCTCTCTGCTGATTTACTATTAGGTTGATGTAAAAGTAATTGCAGGGCTAGGCCAGGGGGCTCATACCTGTAATCCTAGTACTCTGGGAGCCAAAATGAGAAGACTGCTTGAGCTCAGGAGTTGGAGACCAGCTGAGCAAGAGCAAGACCCCATCTCTACTGAAAGTAGAAAAATTAGCTGGGTATCGTGGCGTGCGCTGTTAGTCCAGCTACTCTGGAGGCTGAGACGAGAATCACTTGAGCCCAGGAGTTTGAGGTTGCTGTGAGCTAGGCTGACGCCTGGGCACTCTAGCACAGGTGACAGAGCAAGACTCTGTCTCAAAAATAAATAAATAGAAAAAAAAGTAATTGCAGTTTAGCATTGTTGAAATTTGCCGTTTGATACTGGAATACATTCTTAGATAGATGTGGTTATGTTATACATCATTTTAACACATATTTCTTGCTTTATGTTTTTTTGCTAATGAACTATTACTTGCTGTTTGATATTATTTTAGACTATGAAATGAGTTAGACAAAAAGCAAATTTGAGCAATTTTCTTATTAGAGTTCAAAACAGGTCGTGGCCAGGCGTGGTGGCTCACACCTATAATCCTAGCACTCTGGGAGGCCGAGGCGGACAGATTGCTCAAGGTCTGGAGTTTGAAACCAGCCTGAGCAAGAGTGAGACCCTGTCTCTACTAAAAAATAGAAAGAAATTAATTGGCCAACTAAAAATATATAGAAAAAATTAGCCGGGCATGTGGTGCATGCCTGTAGTCCCAGCTACTCGGGAGGCTGAGGCAGGCAAATCCTTGAGCCCAGGAGTTTGAGGTTGCTGTGAGCTAGGCTGATGCCACGGCACTCTAGCCCAGGCAACAGAGTGAGACTCTGTCTCAAAAAAAAAAAAAAAAAATCAGAAAAAAAAGCCACGACCTGTTTTGAACTCTAATAAGAAAATTGCTCAAATTTGCTTTTTGTCTAACTCATTTCCATAGTCTAAAATAAATATCAAACAGCAAGTAATAGTTCATTAGCAAAAAAACATAAAGCAAGAAATATGTGTTAAAATGATGTATAACATAACCACATCTATCTAAGAATGTATTCCAGTATCAAACGGCAAATTTCAACAATGCTAAAACTGCAATTACCTTTTTTTTCTATTTATTTATTTTTGAGACAGAGTCTTGCTCTGTCACCTGTGCTAGAGTGCCCAGGCGTCAGCCTAGCTCACAGCAACCTCAAACTCCTGGGCTCAAGTGATTCTCCTGCCTCAGCCTCCAGAGTAGCTGGGACTACCAGCGCACGCCACGATACCCAGCTAATTTTTCTACTTTCAGTAGAGATGGGGTCTTGCTCTTGCTCAGGCTGGTCTCCAACTCCTGAGCTCAAGCAGTCTTCTCATTTTGGCCTCCCAGAGTACTAGGATTACAGGTATGAGCCCCCTGGCCTAGCCCTGCAATTACTTTTACATCAACCTAATAGTAAATCAGCAGAGAGAGAAGTATCACAGGCACCAAAAAGTCTTCGGAAGAGACTTTGAAGAAGGAGATGGTCAACAGATGTTGAGTGCTTGCTAACAGATGTTGAGTGCTGACTTAGCAAGGTCAATTTCAGTGGACTGTTGGAGGCAGCAGTCAGATAACAGTAGAGTGTTAAAGGTGGATGATAAATATAGAGCAGGGGTCCTCAAACTTTTTAAACAGGGGGCCAGTTCACTACTAGACCTTTGGAGAGTGCACACTGTGGGCCTGTTACGAGTCGTCTGCTAAGCAGGATGGGCAGCTGCAGCAAAAACACCCAGCAGGCAGGATAAATGTCCCAGGCGGGCGGCATGTGGCTCGTGGGCTGTAGTTTGAGGATGCCTGATATAGAGGGTTTACTGGTCATTGATAAGCTTTCTGTTTTGTTCTGTGTTTTGAAGGGGGACTTAAGCACATATGTTTATATGGTGGACTGGAAGGTCAGAAGTTGGGAGAGGTAGGGCTGTAGGAGCTTGGGGAAAAGTAGCTGCTAAGGAGATTAGGAGAGGGAAATGGAACAGCACCCTCTTGGAGATTTAAGAAGCAGATTGGATGCTGTAGGTCTGTTGTGGCCGCATACTGTAGCATACTGGTTTGCTTCTGTGTTTGGGGAAGAACATAGTGTGCCAGGCAGTGGCAACACTGTGTGCTAAGGGATTGGGGGTAGTGGTGTCTAAAAAGTAGTGTTCGTATCAGGGAACAGTAAGCAATTAAATATGGCTGTAATTCATGATACAAAGGCAGGAGATAAACTTGGTGGGTGCCTAATTGATATAAAAAGAGTGTTTTGTAATGTTAAGAAAGATTGTCTGAAGTGCATAGTTGAGGAAAGTTGTGGACTTGGAGGGTTCTCGCCCTGGCTCTGTTTCTGTGACATCTACCATCTCTGAGCCTGTGTCTTCAACTGTAAAATGTGAGGGCTGGTGCTTTCCAGTCATTTTGGAGTTAAAATTTTTGTGCTTGATTTTCAGTTGGACTAAGCTGACTGAAAGATTCTTCAAGAATACACCTTGGCCTGAGGCTGAAGCAATTGCTCCACAGGTTGGCAACGGTAGGTGTGAGCTGTTTGTATCCTGTGTGCTGGATGGGATCCCATTGGGTCATTAGAAAGCTTAGGAACGTCTGTGGCTATTTTGCTCATCCTTTTGTTTCTTATGGCCATTCTGGAATGGGCTCTCTAGCCTCCCACTCTTCTTTTCTTTTCTTTCTTTTTTTTTTTTGAGACTATTTTGATGTTCATCTTTGTGCTCAGGCTAGAGTGAGTGCCGTGGCGTCAGCCTAGCTCACAGCAACCTCAAACTCCTGGCTCGAGTGATCCTACTTGCCTCCAGCCCTCCCAGGTAGCCTGGGACTACAGGCATGACGCCACCATGCCCGGCTATTTTTATATATATATCAGTTGGCCAATTAATTTCTTTTCTATTATTAAGAGACGGGTCTCCGCTCTTGCTCAGGCTGGTTTTGAACTCCTGTACTTAGCATTCCGCGGCGTCGGCCTCTCTCCAAGAGCTATTGGTATTACAGGTTCGTGAGCACTATGCTGCCTTGTCGTCTCCTCATCTCTTTCATTCTTTATGTGTATATGTCCTTTATTATGGTGTGGATGGTGATGGTTCCAGATTCCAACTTCTATTGTTCGCGAGTTGGATTTCTAGTTTCCAGTGACTAGTATTTGAAGACTATTTTTCTCCCTATTTCTGAATCTTGAAAACAGTTGATTCATAAATGTAAGAGTTTACTTCTGGCTGTTCAATTCTGTTCCATTGATCAGAATGTCTGTCCCATGCTTGTATCATACCATCTTGATTACTGTAGGTTTGTATTAAATTTGGAAATTGGGAAGTATAAGTTCTCCAACTTAGTTCTTTTTCAAGATTGTTTTGGCTATTCTGGGTCCCTCGGATTTCTTTATGAATTTTAGGATCAGCTTGTCAGTTTCTGTAAAGTAGCCAGCTGGGATTTTGATAAGCATTGCATTGAATGAATCTGAAGCTTAATTTGTAGAGTATTTTCATCTTAGCAATATTAAGTCCTCCAATCCATGGACAAGGGGTGTCTTTCTATTTATTTAAGCCTTCAGTTTCTTTTTATTTTTCCCTGATTACTAGACAACCAAGGTAGGTCTTTAATTTCTTTCAGCAATCTTTTATAGTTTTTATTGTACAAGTCTTCACAACAACAAAATGTTACACCTGATTTTTTGTTGTTGTTGTTATTTTTTTTTCTAAATATACCTGATATTTTTTGAGCACTTACTTTTATTATCATTGTTTGATAAAAGGTTTAAAACTCATTCTGAAATATTTTCTGTGTTGCTGAGATGTTAATATTTTGCTTGTAAGGAATACAATATTGTGTATATTAAGAACAATAGGAGTGGCCAGGCGCGGTGGCTCACTTATAATCCTAGCTCTCTGGGAGGCCGAGGCAGGCGGATTGCTCAAGGTCAGGAGTTTGAAACCAGCCTGAGCAAGAGCGGGACCCTGTCTCTACTATAAATAGAAAGAAATTAATTGGCCAACTAATATATATAGAAAAAATTAGCCAGGCATGGTGGCGCATGCCTGTAGTCCCAGCCACTTGGGAGGCTGAGGCAGAAGGATTGCCTGAGCCCAGGAGTTTGAGGTTGCTGTGAGCTAGGCTAACTCCATGGCATTCACTCTAGCCTGGGCAACAAAGTGAGACTCTGTCTCAAAAAAAAAAATAATAATAAATAAAAAAAAAAAGAACAATAGGAGTCCCATTTTTTAAATATATATATTTATTTAGAATCAGGTAAAAATTCACAGGGCATATAGTAAAAAAGGAGATTTGGTATAAAAATTCCCCTCCCTTTTCTGTCCTGAGTTTTCAGTTTCTGTCTCTGGAAACAACTAGTGTTACCATTTTCTTATTTATCCTTTCTGTGATATTCTGTGCATGTATAAGCAAATAGGGATAACTCTTGTTCTTTTTTACATAAACTAAACTTCCTTTTCTTTCTCCTGTTTTTTTTTCGTGCTTGTAATTTTGGAGCGTGTTCTGTTTGTCCAGGAGTCCTCAAGACCACCTCCAGGTTTGGTTATTTGCTAAGAGGACTCACAGGACTCAGCTTATAGTTGTACCCCCATTTATGAGGGTTTACAGCAAAAGAATACGAATCAAAATCAACAAAGGGAAAAGGCTCATGAGCCAAAGTACAGAGGAACCAGGCACAAACCTCTCTCAGTGGGGTCACATGGGCACATGTGAAATGTCTATCAGGGAAGCTGATTACAGACTCAGTGCCCTGGGACTGTACTGGGGCCTGGTCATGTAGGTTCCTTCTCCCTAACACATACCAAAATTCTAGCCTCCCAGAAGGGAAGCAAGTATTCAGCATAAAACCTTACTGTTGGCTGGGCGCGGTGGCTCACGCCTGTAATCCTAGCACTCTGGGAGGCCGAGGCGGGAGGATTGCTCAAGGTCAGGAGTTCCAAACTAGCCTGAGTAGAGTTTCAAGTGAGTCTCACTCTCTTGCCCAGGTTAGAGTGCTGTGGCATCAGCCTAGCTAATAGCAACCTCAAACTCCTGGGCTTAAAAGTGATCTTCTTGCCTCAGCCTCCCAAGTAGCTGGGACTACAGGCATGTGCCACCATGCCTGGCTGATTTTTTCTATTTTTAGTAGTTTGGCTAATTTCTTTCTATTTTTAGTAGAGATGGGGTCTTGCTCTTGCTCAGGCTGGTCTCGAACTCCTGAGCTCAAGCAATCCTCCCGCCTTGGCCTCCCAGAGTGCTAGGATTACAGGTGTGAGTCACCGTACCTGGCTATATTTGCAATTTTGATAGTGGCATGTTGCCCTCTGGAGCTATTACTGTTTATTTATGTGCTGGTTTATTTAAGTAAATCGATGGCAAAAGTCTCTAAGTGGTGGAAGGAAATAGGTCTGAGGTTAAGATGAGGTTGACAGAGTAGCATGAGAAATGGATTTTCTCATTTCATGTGTTCTTGGGGCATATGCATGAGAGTTTAGATGTTTATTCTCTAAAATCACCTTTATTCCTCCCTGCCAAAGAGCTAAAACTGCCAGAAGACCCCAGTTGTCGTGGATACTGAAGCACCCCTTTGCCATCTCTTTCAGATGCTGTCTTCCTGATTTTATACAAAGAATTATACTACAGGCACATATATGCCAAAGTCAGTGTGAGTATTTAAATGTTGCTGGTGATTTTTTAAACTCATGCCATTTTTGTCCCTTGTTCCAAGAGTGATCAGAATGTTTTTGAACTTTTAAGGAATGGCGGAGAGAATAATTTAATCCAGAAAGCTATTCCAAGCTAAAACTACATAGCCTATCTGTCCTTTTTGATTCTCTGTTCCTACAGTTCTCTTTGATGGGGGGCACTCACCACCATGAGCTGAGTGATAGGCTGCAGTCCTAGACGGTGTTTCCAGCACCTGCTGCTGCTTCTGCTTGGGATTCCCTTTTCCCTTAGTGCATCATCCGTGAGCCTCCTTTTCTCTGAAATACACATGACACTGTCACTGTTTCACAGGCACAGTGCTAGGTACTTGGCACACATCTTCACATCTCTGATCCTCATAGCAGTCCTACAAAGTTGGCAACTAGAGTGCAAAGAGGTTACTTGTTCTCAAATTTATGTAACTAGTAAGTGGCAAAACTCCTTGAACCTAGGCCCAGATTGTTGTAACACCAGTGTTCTACATGCAGTCTCAACTTTGAGCACTTGCTGGATTCTTTATTTTCTTGGTTTCTAAATTTTAGAGTGCCCCAAGTCTCTTAAAATACCATTTGTACTATTTATAGATTAGAAAAATCTATCTTTAGCCCTAGTCTCTCCACTGAACTCCAGACTTGTATATCCAGCTGACAGTTCAGCATCTCCATTTGGCTGTCTGGTAGTCATCTCATGCTTAACATGTCCAACACTTAACTCTTATTTTCCCTCTAAACCCGTTCCTCCCATGTTAATCATCTCAGTAAATGGTACTACCATTCACCTAGTTAACTGGACTGAAAAATCTTCTCTGACTTGACATCCAACCTTGCAGTAAATCCTATTCAGCCTTATCTTCAACATGACTAGTTTTAAATCCCTGTGGGGAGGTTTTTCCTTTTCTTTTTGAGACAGAGTCTAACTCTGTTGCCTGGGCTAGAGTGGTAGGTTTTTCATTGAATGTGCTTAATGTACTTAAGCACCAGACACAATTTTGATTGTGACTAGTCATAGTCTTCTTTTTTCTTTCTTTTTTTTGGAGACAGAGTCTCATCTCACTCTGTTGCCCAGGCTAGAATGCCATGGTGTCAGATTAGCTAACATCAACCTCAAACTCCTGGGCTCAAGTGATCATCATGTCTCAGCTTCAGCTGGGACTACAAGTGCACACCACCACACCCGGCTAATTCTTTCTATTTTTAGTAGAGACGGGGGTTTGCTCTTGCTCAGGTTGATCTCGAACTCCTTGCCTCAAACTAACCTCCCACCTTGGCCTCCCAGAGTTCTGGGATTATAGGCATGAGCCACTGCGCCCAGCTTTTTTTTTTTTTTTTTTTTTTTTTTTTAAGAGATAGGGTCTCAGTATGTTGCCCAGACTGGACTTGAACTCCTGGGCCCAAGCAATTCTCCCTCCCAACCTCCCAAGTAGCTGGGACTGCAGGCATGCGCCACTGTGCCTGGCTTAGTCGTAGTCTTGTTCACATTTTACAGAGAGATTAAATACCTTGTCTGAATCCCATGGTTAGTAAATGGTGTGGCTAAGATGCTAAGGCTGTGGTTTTCCTACTCCATCACGAATGCATTGTTCATTTTATTGTTCCCACCTCAGAAACAGTCAGTAATTCTCAGTTGCCAGCAACATAAAGACCAGATCAGGGGTCAGCAGCTTCTTCTGTGAAGGGCCAGGTAGTAAGTATTTTGTAGCAGTCACAAACAATAAGAAATGAGTGGGCATGGCTGTGCTCCAGTAAAGCTTATTTACAAAACAGGTGGTAGAGTAGATTTGCTGACCTCATAGCCTACATTCTCATTTGGCACTGGTAGATGGATTGTTACATTGCTGACCCATTATAGTCCAGTGTAGCCTGGTATAGCATCATCTCCTCTATCTCCTTAGCCTTCAAGTGCCATGATTTTATCTCTTTGCCTTTGTTAGTGTGGCTTTCTCTGAAATACTTGCCTTTGTCTCTACTTTGCTGGATCTACGTGCCTGCTCTCTGAGGTTTAAGGTCTGTTCCTGTAAAACATGACCCTGACCGTGTTACACTGTTCAGTGGCCTTTTTCAACTGCTGTAGGATTTCCCTTCCCTCTCACTGAGTGCTCTTCACATGCTAAGGAGAGGACAGACGTCAATTGTTGTATATTTGTTCTCAACCATCATGATAGACCCTGAGTAAAACACTTAAATATCTGTGTCCTGATGTCTCTGTTCTCTTTACAGGGAGGACCCTCCTTGGAGCAGAGGTTTGAATCCTATTACAACTACTGCAATCTCTTCAACTACATTCTTAGTGAGTCTGAGATTTGGCCAGGGGGTTGTGGTTATAATGAGGGCCAGCATTGGCCTCCAGCTCTTTGTTGCAGGATTTTTTTTTAAGAGACGGGGTCTCACTCTGTCACTTGGGCTGTTGGAGTGCAGTGGTGCAATCATAACTCCTGGGCTCAAGTGATCCTTCCACTTCAGCCTCCCAAGTAGCTGGGACTGTAGGTGTATGCCACCGTGCCCGGCTAATTTTTTTTCCCTCTTTTGTGGAGGAGTCTCTCACTCTGTCATCCTGGCTAGAGTGGTCTCATCATAGCTAGTCCTTAACTTCTGGACTCAAGCAGTCCTTTTGTCTCAACCTTCTGAGTAGCTAGGATTATAGGCAGGAGTAATCTCACCCAGCTTTAGCAGGATTTTAATATGCAAGTGGAAGAGGGGAGGTCTTGTGATTCATAGTCCTTTAAAGAGAAATTACAGAGAACATTGTGCAGCTTTACTGAATGGGCAAATACATTGGTTTGAATCTGACTTTTTTGTGATCTCTTGCACAGATGCTGATGGTCCTGCTCCCCTTGAACTACCCAATCAGTGGCTCTGGGATATCATTGATGAATTCATCTATCAGGTATCTGGTCAGCTTCAGTCTAGTTTGATATAACTGATCTGAGCAAGGAGCAGCTGCTACCATTGTTCGTGTTATTAAAAAGATGCATCGTGTAAAAACTATGCATCTTAGTGTAAAGTATCCTTTGACAGTGGACTCCCCTGTCAGATGGTTTTGTTAAGAGACAGTGAAGGCTAAGCATGCTTCACATAGGAATTTGGAAGTCGGATGAGTTGAGCTCCTTTCACCAAGTTCTTTTTTTTTTTTCAAGTCAGGAGTTCGAAACCAGCTTGAGCAAGGGTGAGACCCCATCTCTACTATAAATAGAAAGAAATTAATTGGCCAACTAATATATATAGAAAAAATTAGCTGGACATGGTGGCGCATGCCTGTCCTCCCAGCTACTCGGGAGGCTGAGGCAAGATTGCTTGAGCCCAGGAGTTTGAGGTTGCTGTGAGCTAGGCTGACGCCACAGCACTCACTCTAGCCTAGGCAACAAAGCAAGACTCTGTCTCAAAAAAAAAAAAAAGAACGTGGGTCAAAACTGATAAACATGTCTGGGGAAAAAAAGAAAGAAAAAGAGAGAGAAATAAAATAAATAAATAAAAGAAAG